AATTTTTCATTATTAATGCAACTCTTAAATGACAAGGATTTTACAAATAAGGAAGAAACATTTCCCTGCCTCAGTTTCAATGCCCATCTTGAATAGACTATTTTCTGTGATAAAATAGATTTGGTTAATAGAATTTGTTTGATTTAAAAAGCTAGGACAATTTAGAGACAATCCAAGAATGCCTTCTACGGTATTATTCTTTCTTTTTTGCTGTTCTCTTTACTTTTTTATTATATAAAACTATTCTTTGGATAGAGAAATTATCATAATGACTTATTTTTATTCATCCACCACATTAGCACCAAAATATTTTCCCCAATGATCTTTTTTATCTGTTTCAATCTCTTTGTGTTATTATTATTATTTTCCAGTAAGAATTTAGGGGACATTTCTTGAATTGATTAATTTTCCACCTCTTTCCCCACTGCAATTACTTCAAGATGAGTGTGACCCTTAGAACAACGTGTTTTGCACACAGACTTCTTGTGCTATTGAAGACATTTGTCTTGTAAACACGCCAAAAGTTGTTGCTAGTAGAATACTTTATTTTTAATAAGTTTACATTCTTCTTCTCCTTTTTTTAAGACTTTTGCCAATGGGCACCAGAAAGAGATAGTGAGAGGGAAAGTGAGACATCACCTCTCCTCCCCCCACCCCCTGGGGTGGGGTGGCCATGCCACCATCCATTTTCCTCCATCTCTTCCTGAGATCTTGGGTATTCACACACACATGCCTGGTGTGATTTTTAGACAGCAGGGCCCATGACTCAAACCACTGTTGGTCATGTGGGAGTTCAGCACCTCAGCCACTGTGCCACCTGCTGGCGCCAATGTATCTATCTTATCTGAAATGCTCTATTCTTTTTAGTTGGAAGAGTTAAATAATTACATTTAATAACCAATAAATCATCATCAATAACAGAATTTGCTATTAATTTGAAATTAGTTTTTATTAGATTAGACCACATAAAGTTGCTATTATCCAACATCTTAATGTTTTTACTGAATTTTTTCTTCCTTACAATGAAAGAGTCAGAATAATGGTTAAAAGTTTGGGTTTAAGCATACTAGTGAATTTATTAATTAGTACTCCTAGTTTACATGAATTGCTCTTGCATTCCTAGCCCACTACATTTTCAAATACTATCTTATATACTATGAACATCATGAGTTTTCTGGGGTAGGAATTATTATCCCCTTTTTCTAAGCAAGGAAATCAAATTGAATGATTTTTTTCAAAGATCACACAACTATTAAAAGTCAAAGCTGGTATAAGTATTTACTGATAATTTCACCATGCTGGCTTTTATAGGGCTTTTAAAATAGCTGTTCGGAGGCAAAAATATTTTACATTGATGGCATTGAATTAACATTATTCTTTAGAAAGCCTCCTTTTTATTTGTCATTAGTTTCTGTAATAGTCAACATTTAATTAGCAATCAGTATGTACCCTAACTATATATCTATACCCCCCTTGTATGATCCGTGCAACAACTCCTTGACATTGGCATTCTTATTATCCTTCCTTTATAGACAAGAAAACTAAAAACCAGGAGATGTGATGAATAGTGATCATTTCCTAGATTAGTGCTCTTACAGGCAGAACTAACTACATCATTTGCAGAACCCAATGTATAAGGAAAATATGGCTTCTGTGTTCAAAAATTATTGAGAATCTCAATTAACAATGTGATATTAGGGACTGGACATTGGTGTCACAGCAAAACACAATACCCTGTAAAGCAGATCCACACGGGAAGTGGCCAATTCACATCGGAGACCTCACCCACTACTCCAGGAACACTTGTGCCCATGACCCAGTTGACTGATTCTGGGGGGTCATCACAGCATCAAGACTCAGTTGGAATGCTGTATCTCTGTCTGTCTGTTTCTGTATCTCCCTTACTCACAGAATAAATAAATGAGCTTTAAAAAAAAATCATAGTAGGAACCAGGAGGAGGCATAGTACTAACATATCTGGACCCACATGGGAAAGATTCTAGATTCGTGCCCTAGGACTCTGAGGATATTGAACTGCTGAAACTAGAGGTGGATAACTGCTTAGAGACCCTATTGGGAAACCTCTTTCTCATGCAAGAAATAAAATAATAATAAAAAAAGAAAGAATGTGACATTTGAGCCCTAAATCAAGTATGTGACTCTGAGCATGAACCCTGTGAGACTGTACAGGTGACATGCCCATGACAACGGCCTTTCCACAGGGCCTGCACCCTGAGTCTGGCCTAGTCAATGTGCAATTAACCTCATGTGGGCCTGCAAAAAGCCTCATGATATGGAACATAAAAAAAAAAAAACAGAATTACTAGACACCTTGCATTAAGAGTGTTTCAGAAACACTTTAGTTTTCAGCTGAGAGCATCTTGAGGCACTGAGATCCTTCGTGAGATGGGACTTGAGAAGGGACCAACCCTATGAGTCCCAGTCCAGACTACTTCTACCATGAAAAGAGAAGTATAGACCACTTTTGGTTTTATCAGTCGAGAGTGAGATGGTATTTTGGAAACTAAGAGAAGAAAGAGGAAGCACTGGGGAACTCCCACCCCACCACAATCAGGAAACACCCTCACCTTTGTCTTTCTTGATAATGGTAGTGGAAACTTGTGAAATATATTCATGTGCTTTTGTTGCTTAGTGGTCCATGTTAATTTATGTCTGAAATTAACAAGCCTGGTTATGCAAATATTTTTGCCCACTTAAAATTATAGGCAAAAAAAATGATATTTTGGGTTTTCTTCCATTCAAAACTAGAAAGAGCTGCATTTCTAGAAAATAGGTGTCATTAACTCTTGAACTATATTATGGATATCCAGGGTGTGGTCATTCAATCTCATAGACAGTCAAGAGCAGGTGCTTTTAGAATCAAAGTATATAGAATTAAACTCTAATCTTTCTCCTTATTCTATGACCTTGAGAAAATTAATTAACCTCTTTGAGCCTCAGCTTTTTAATCTGTAAAATAAGAAAAAAAAAATTACACTAGTAACTGGGCCAGAAGGTACCATGTACCATGGTGGTTAAGATGCTGGATTCTACAAAGCCAACTTCATGGATCAAGTCATGGACATAAGGGCTTGAAAAATACTCCAGAGGCATATGTGTTCATGCCCAAAACCCTGAAAGTAGGTAAGAGAAAGGACTGTGTGTGGCCATCCCCCCAGGGAGTGATTTCTCACTTTCCCTCTCTAGCTGTCTGTCTGTGTCCAGCAATCACACACAGCAAAAATCTAAAATAATAATAATACCCTCAGAGGGTTATTACAGACAGTCAGTGCATAAATGTGCTTAGTGTATCAGAACAACTCAACTAATTACAGAGCTATTATTTCATATAACTATACATACATTTCATACATAAGTATGTATACATAATAAACACATTTATATTGTATACATCTGTACATTTATAAGTATATGATTTATAGAGAAACTTCTAAGTATATAATACATGTGTGTATATATAGTATTATTCAAAGTTTCTGAGTTTTAAGCTCTCAGATATTAGTGAAGAGGAAATGGTTGGATAGGAGGATAATCGTGATAGAGATTCTTTTTTGGATTTCTGCCTGTCATTGCTAACTCAACATTCAGCTTCTGTGGCACTCAAATTGAATTACTACTGTCTGTACACCTTGGAACTTTATCAGCGTAATCCTTATGCTTCACATCAAGCAGATCAAATGTTTACTTGAATATATATCTAATGTAAGCCTAGAAAAAGTCAGGTCTGTTTCCTGTCTGAAATGGTGGGGCTGTGTTTCCAGGTGCGTTTTAAAGCCTTGATTGGAGTATATAAATTTCCATCTACCCAGGTTATCTTACTAAGCACCTCTCTCCCTAATCCCTAGCCATCTGATGCATTTTATTTTTATGTATCTTGATTTTAGAAAATAAAATGAAAAAAAAAGCTCTAGCATCTTTTTGCTAGTAAACCGACAAAGTGTATATCCAGAGTTTCCTCCTAAATTATAGTTTCATATTTCTTTCCAAGTTATTGATAACAAGCTTAGTTATTATATGCCCAATTCGGTGTTTACCAACAATTGTAAATTTAAAAACTAAGAGTAAGCAAAAGCAACTGTGGTAGCATAGACAGCTTTTGCAAGTGCAGCTGGAAAGTCCCAGCGTCTCACAGGAAATAATTCTATTATCTCAAGCTATTCTGGCAAGCCTTGGAGGAAGATAGAAAGCCACAAGTACAAAACCTTGCCAAGTCTGTGGAAAAGCATGTACACAGTAGGAGCCTATTTGATCTAGAATAATCCCTTCACTGGAGGTGCTACAGAGCTTTGAGTATATTTTGAGTATTTCCAGTATGTATGCAAAAATTATCCTCTGCACAGGTACCAATAGGTAGCTACAGAACCTGGCCCACACAAGGCACAGGACACCCCCACCTATGCAAAGATACCCCCTGAGAAAAACCCTGGACACCTACTCCCAGATAAGCCCCCACCTAGTCACAGGCAGGTTGTCATTCCTCCCGGGCAGTCGGTCACACTGTTTGTGGAGTGTGTTCTTTGTCTAATAAACTTTCTCTGACTACTGATTTCTGATTAGCTCTCAAATTCTTTCCCTCATGCAGTCATGAGCACTCTCATGAGGAAGGGTCTGCCTAGCCCCCTCCCCAGCAACACAACTGTGTAGCTAACATGAACAGTGTTTGCCATTCCATATTGTCTAAACATGCAAACACATATGAAAATGAGTGATGTGTGTCTGTTTGGGAAGTGGATGAAATAAGTTTGTCAGTAATTGTTTCAGAATCTATTTGTTCAGTATGTTTTCTGTGAAATGTGTCATTTGTTTTGTGTCTCCACCTTGTAGAAGTTCCTCTATGTGAACATCTCTAGCTTAGAGGTTTTAACTGAATAAATTATTCCTGGGCTTTTGAATTATTCATCTCAAATACCCATGATATGCAAATCAAACTGCACTAACCATGTCCAGCAGCACAGCACCGGGTCAGAACTGCATCCCGGGTGCTGATGAAGAGTTTCTGTCACGGGAGCAGGACTTCCAACAGAATGGTAAGTTGTACTGCAGCTCACAATCTCCTAGATTTTCTGCTGGGGTCTTCTTTTAAAAGTGGCCTGTGATTAATTTGGGTTTTGAGTAATGTGTAAGTGAACTTCTTGGAAGTAAATGTAAAATAACAAAATAAACTAAAAGGAAGTCATCATTTTTACCTATACATTGATTTTACATCAAGTTAAATTTCTTGTTTTAATTGCCAAATATTAAATTTTGTTTAAAAGAGTTTATTATATTTGCTAATATCTCAGTAACTTATACTGCAAAAAAAGTAGTAATTAGACTGAATAGTTACTATTAAGAAGACATAACTATGGAAAACTAGTAAAGTTCTTATATCATATGTAACTAATATGTATGAATTCTCATGTTTAGAAAAATGTCTTAAGGGGTATTCTAAGACATTCTAAAAATTAAATTTAACATTTATATGTGTTAAAATGACATCACTCAAGAATATAATTCATTAAGGAAAAATATTAAAGTGCAGACACTACCTTCCCTTCCAGAGCTTTTAATAATTTGTGAGATATTCTTAAGGAAATTAATAAACATGATTTGATATCAGACTTGTTTTTTAGTACTCCAGATTCTGGTGTAATTTATAGATATGTGACATTAAGTTTATCAGTACAATAAATATTACTATATCTTTTCATTGTGGATTTTTTTTATTCTAGTTGTGTAATGATGCAAAAGCACTTTGTTAATAAACATCCTCTTGTTACTAGTAAATTTACCTTATAGTAGCAGTTAAAACTTAAAATTTCACAAATGTTCTTTATTAATTGTGATTATATGGAAACAATTTAAGCTAAAATGATAAAATATATATTTTTAAATTTGTTTCAAAAATGTACATTTTGAAAAGATGGAATAAAGTGAATAAAACATTCTCTTATTAAAATAAATACTACGGATATGCTTATGTGAATAAAATAGATAATATTTCTCATTCAATAATCTAAGAGGTTTAGATTTGGTTTTGGTCTGGGAACTAATGATTTTGTTCCCATTGCTAACATATTTTTTTAAAATCTGTTAAAATAATCAAATTGGGTATAAACTATTTATCACTACTTCAATTTCCTAAAAATAAAAATAAAACCACTACAAAGTGGAAGAAGAAATACTGATTTTTCATGGAATATTTCCATGTCAATTGGGAGTTTTGTGTAACAAAACTACTTACTTCATAATGTCTCGAATTTTGATGAGCAATCTAAGAATACACTCAACTACTACCCAATTTGGAATATAATATCCTCAAAATACCTAAAAGTCCTGGTGAAGTTAAACTGGCATGTAAACATTGACAATCTACCTTCTTAAAAATCACAATTTTTTAAATTTATTAATATGATGGGCTTAGGAAAAAAATTAAGAATGAAAGAAATGTATCAAAGAAACAGATAAATATCATAAAAACGATTACTTCGTTCTTATAAACATAAATTCAAATAAATGTTAAAGCATTGAAGTGTATCCAGAAATTAGGAGTAGCTTATTTGTTTATAATTTTTACTCCTTAGTTTTGACTGTAGTTTTTGAGAGCCACACAGTTAACATTTCGTTTCCCTCAAAGAATAAAACACCCACTGCATGAGAAGCAGAACAAACATAACTATCTGGTCACTCATTTTTCTTAGTCCAGTCCTGGTGTTCTGCATCCCTACTACTTCTCTATATTCCCTACCCTCTTGGACTATTGGAAGGTTCCTAACTTGCTGAGTGGTTGTCATTGGTAATCTGGCTTTTAGTTGCATGAATCTTCATGGCTATATTTTCCTTCCATAGCAGTCAAATTTTTCTGCTTTACATAAACTATTACATTAACTGTAGACACAAATCAGTACTTAACCAGAAAAGGAAGAAATTCAAAAATGTAAAAAGTGATTTTTTTTTGTCTCAAGGAAACTATTCTATTATCTTAATTTTCATCTGAGTGTGTGCATCAATTTTTGAGTACCTCCAAAATTACCAGCAGGTCTAGACCTGTACCCTGAAGAACTCAAAAGTTTAAAACTTGAACAAAGACTGACTAGGCCACAAGGGAGTTTGCAAATAGAGAAAGAAAGAAGGGAAACGAGATCATCAGGTTATAGAAATAAAGAAGTGCTTCCTGAAATTGTGAAATTGAAAGGTGCTAAAAATGAAGTTAATAATAATGAAAATGATCATTGATCTAAAAAACGAAGTTTCAGAACCAGCAGTTGGTGTAATTGCTATGTCGCTGGACTCCCATTTAGTTAACCGTGGTTCGCGTTCTGGACCTGGTGGCTTAAACTTACGCCGGGTGCTTGTGCCTGCATGCCCAAGATCCCAAGAAGAGAATGGAGAAGAAGGAATTGCAGTGTGGCTATCCCCTCCGGGGGATGATTTCTCACTTTCTGTCTCTCTGTCTCTCTCTATCTCTGGCAAGTGCACACACCCTATGGTAAAAAAAATAGAAAAAAATTCAAAAAAAAGGAAGTTTCATTTTAAACATTCACTGACTTTTTTGCTTTATTTATAGGAATTTTAATTTTTAACTCTACTAAATACAAGCTGACTTTGGTAGGAAAACAATAATAACAAAAACAGAAAACCCAAATAAATCAAAAGGAGAAAGGACATAATAGAAAATATCTGGAATTTCATGATTATTAATAAAATTATTAATAGATATCTTTTTAGACTTTCTAGACTTCATGTTTATTAGTTTCAGATGTAAGTTCTTAATTAAATGCCTTAATTTAAAAAATTGATCCTAAAAGATAGGTATTCAATTTTACCTTATATACATAGTTTCTAAATCACAGTTACCACTACTATAATTGTCAATTTTTAATATCTATTTTATTATATATAGTGCCATTTTTTATAGTGAAATATAGCAATGGACTTAATTTGATAGATTTACTATTCTTCTGAGGTTTGAGGAAATCTTTATATAAATGCCATATAAACAGTAAGGTGTTTATATCTATCTCTTCACTCAACAACATTAACAGACCACCTACTGTCTGCTAACCACTGTGCCAGACATACAAGATAATGAGTAGGACAACATTGTGAGAAATGTTAAGAAGTTTAGTGCACAATGACAGCATAATTGGGAGGACCTGCTTTAGGTCAAAGAGTCTATTTGAGAGAACCTACATTTAAATTGAGGTCTGGCCTAACCATAGTGGCTCAGCAGTAATGCAAAGCTCTGCAATGCTGGAAGCCACATGGAAGATCAGAGTTCAGTTTCCAGGTCTACCTGTACACACTGAGGTACATGTGTGCCTAAGATCTGGCTGGTGGGGGAGGTGGGATGAGGGTAGGGGATGGATGACAACTTCCTGTTGAAGATGCTTGTCTTTCTTTCTCTCTCCATCTTTATCTCTTTGTCTCTGTCATTCTCATGAAATAAATAAAGTTAAAAAAAATAATGAAAATGACCTGAAGCCAAAATTCTCATGAAATAAATAAAGTTAAAAAAAAAATGAAAACCTCCTAAAGTCAGAAAGATGTAAAAGAAAAGTAGCTGTAAGAGTAAACATGAGGGTAGATTCCATGGCATACCGGTTAAGGGACCAAATCTCACATGGTCTACATTGGTTCAAATCCTAGCCTCAGTGGCTTGAAAAATGTGCTGGGCATGTATGCTTGTGTGCCCCGAATCCTGACAGGATCGAGAAATGGAGAAGGAATTGTGGTGTGATCACATCGTATAGGGAGATTCTCTCTCTCTCTCACTCTCTCTCTCTCTTACTACCTATTCAGGACAGTGCATATACCCTCTGGCAAATTAAAGAAAGAGAAAGTATTCAATAGGCCAGGTGTCACAGGAGGACATTAATAGAAAGGACTCTGGATAAAACATGAAATAATGTGATTGATTTTAATATGGAGTAGCAGGACCAGCAGGTTGCATGGTGGTTAAGGGCGCCGGACTCCCACATGGCCGACCATGGTTTGAGACCTGGACCTGGTGACTTGCTTTCTTACTACCCCCATCCCCAGACTGTCTGTCTCTCTTTGGTCAAATTTTAAAATAATAATAATAATAAAATTAAATTAAATAAATAATTCTTTTTTAAAAAATAAATATGGAGTAGCTTGAAATATAGAAATATTTCTCATTGGTCGATAATTCTTGCTCATAGGGGCTTTATACATGCTGTGGCACTGAGGAATGCTGGTAGTTAACCTGAAAATCAGAGAAAGATGTCATGATTTTTCCAGATTTCTTTAGAGAAGAGTGTACCAAGCACATGAGATAGAGCTCAATCTCTGTGAAGAGATTTCAGTGAAGAGATTTAGACATAGGGGACTACGTATTAGAAAGACTCAGCATTTAGAGGACAAGGAGAAAGATGAAGAAGTGGGAGAGCAATATTCAATGAGGTTTAAGTGGAATTCAGGGGCCATGTCATACAGGAAGCCCTCACTGAGGTCTTTAGCCTTTGGCCTTAGACAAAGAAAAATCATTTTAACAGTTATTATTAAAAGGATTAATATGATCAGTTTTTCAAGATTATTTGGCTATCAGGGCAAAGATGAATTGAAGGAGTCAGAGAAGATATGAAGATTCAGTAGCAGGATATGACACAGTACAAGATAGAGGATGATGACCTGGATGAGAATAATGATGAGAGAGATGGAACAATAGTGATGAATTAGAAAATTTCCAGATATTATAGTTAACAGGGCTTGAGAGTTCATTCATTTTTGGAGTTCAATTATAGATAACTTCAAGTATCTGTACTTCAAGTATCTAGGTTTCTGAGATGAGTACCTGAGTAAGATGGTGGAACCCTTTACCAAGATAGGTGGATGTGCTGACTAAGAAAGCAGAAGAGTTTCATATAGGATCCTGGAAGCATAGGTACCTATCAGAACTCAATTAATGGCAGTAAGTATAAATAATTAGAGCTTAGAAGAAAAGTCTGGGATGGAAATCTAGGAGTTGCTGATGTATGGCTTAGCATTAAAGCTTGAGAATTAATGACATCATCCAGGCAGAGTCCTTATGAAGAAGGAACTCAACACTAAACTTTTAGGAACTTGACATTTAATGACTGAGCCACAAAAGAGCCTAAAAAGAACAACAGGGAGAAAGAAGGAAAACTAGCTGTCTGTCATGCCACAGAAAACAAAAGTGTTTCCAGAACTCATGTTATGAAGAGCAGCTGGGAAGTCAACTAAGAACACTAGTAAGAAATGGCCATGGGTATATGCAGTGATGGGTCAGAAGTCAAATTGGAGCAGGTTGGAAAGAGAGTGGGTGTCAGAAAATCAAAACACTTAGTGAGACAGCTCTTTGCAAAACTTAAGCTAAGAAGAGTAAAGGAACATGCAAAACGAGGAAGAGTCGACTGCTCTTGTGTTTAACACAAGCATGCTAAATGCTGATGAAAAAAAATTCAGTTGAGGTGAAGAAAACAGACAGTCAAAAAGACAAAAGAGAGAGCAAAGTGAATAGCCTAGTAATCTTAAGAGTTTGGGAATTAGATGGACCTAATTGAGTAAGCCCACAAGTGATCTCTGTTTCAGTGAACCTGAGGACACCACCACTAGCTAATGATGAGTAGGGAAAAGAGTAAGTGGATGAAATTGGAAACAAACTTCAAAAAATATAGTTAATATAATAATTTTAGCAGCAGGACCAGATACCCTCAAAGATCGAGTGAAGCCAACCTGCTCGGTTCTTCCACCGCGTTCATGTGGCTGCTGCCTGAGAATGTCCCCAGACAGCTTCATCTAGAGTTGGACTTAGTGGCAGGTTGCCATGGAAAGACTTGAGAGATTCCAAGGAATTTAGGATGTTTTCAAGTGACTAAAACCAACTTCTCAAAATACTGAATTTATTATCTCCATAATTCCATCACTTATTTCCATAAATAAAGCAGTCTCAAAATAAGATTGCAGTTAATCTTTAATTGAAGTCCATCACTTGAATCTGAAAAAGTAGATGAGTTCTCTAAATGTCTTCATCACACGCATTCTTCCCAGAAAAAAGCAATTCAGGGACATTTATTCATATATTTGTCTTATTCCCCAACCAAAGTATTATATTGAAAGGAATCATGTGGTTTATACCTAATACTCAGAAGCCTATTTGACAAGGAGATTTTGAGAGAATTTTATTTTCAACCTTACTTTTCTCACTAAATATAAGGATTTAAGGTATTCATGAGGAAGATCTTTTACTAGATGTCTGACCTCAGTAAATATTATGGTGTGAATATTGATGTCTCCCCAAAATTCATATGTTGGAACTTAAAAGCATTACGAAGTGGGATGTCTTAGAAAGTGATTAAGTCATGAGGATTCTGTCCTTGTGGATGGAATCAGTGCTCTTCTAAAAGAAGTTGAAAGAAATTGCCTTCTCTCTTTCACCAGTGCCATGAAGACACAGCAAAAGACTTCGTCTCTGGAGCAAAGGGTGACCCCTATCCAGACACTGAGTGTGCCAATGCCTGACCTTTGACTTCCCAGTCTATGAACCTGTGAGAAATAAATGTCTATTATTCACAAATTACTCAGTCTCCAGTAATTTTCTATAGCAGGGACAGACTATGACAAGATATTTAAATTTCTGAGCTTCACTGAGCTTCATGTGTCAAGTGAGTACAGTTACTCTTCACCTGATGTCACTATGAGTATGAGCTATGGAAAGTGACAGAGTGCCTAGTGTACTACAAGCCTCCAATAAATAGTGTACAGTGTTATTATTACTAAGATTTTCAGTGTTGTATTTTAAATTTTTAAAAATTGTTTTAAAACTAGAGTTGTAGTTTACAAATTTAATAAAATAAGCAACTTTTTTTTTTTACAATATAAAATAGTTAAAAGATAAGAAACAGTGAGATTGGGGTTCTGACAATTTCTATTTCCCTTTCTAGGTTAGGATTTATTCAACTTAACTCCGCAGAATCTGTTGACTTACGATATGATGGTGAACATGGTAGGTTCTGGAGACAAAAGCGAATTAGACTTCCCCCTTCACTTACTTTACACTTCATTTTTGGTTCTTTAATATGTGTCAAATCTTTTTTTTTTTTTTTGGAGAGGTTTTCGCTATAGGGCGCGTGCGCTTGCCAGACAGACAGACATAGAGACAGAAAGCAAGAAATCACCCCCCAGGGGGGATGGTCACACTGCAATCTCTTCACCTCCATTCTCCTCTCGGGATCTTGGGCACGCACACACACGCACCTGGCGTGAGTTTTAAGCCACTGGGTCCAGGATGCGAACCATGCTCAACTATGTGGGAGTTCAGCGGCATAGCCATTACGCTAACTGCTGGTTCCCAATATGTGTCAAATCTTCATGTGTGCTTCCAATTCTGTCTTTCAATGTGTTCTTTCTTATGTCTACATTCTTCCTCCCTGTATAGATATGATTCTTTCCCTCTCTTCATAAGGGTTTCTATTTAAATGTCATTTCAGAGCAAAACATCTCATTGGTCACTAGGTATAAAGAGTAACTGGCACCTTGTGTCCCAAAACTCTCTCACACTTACCCTTCATGGTTTTTATTCATAGAACTTATTACGGCATTATTTCCTTGTATATTTCCTTATTTTTCAAATTGTTTGAGATTAGAAACTTAATTTTACTTAACGCTGTTATCAACCGTGCCTAGCACATATTTGAAAGGTAAATTAATAAATATTTGTTAGAATGATATATTCATGATATATATATATATATATACATACACACATATATGCAAATACATATATAGTCCTTCCTAATGTAACCTAATCTGCATAGGTCATGTTTCAAAATTTGTTTAATCATTATGTTTTGCAGTTTTGTCCTTAGTTACTGTCTAATGTTTCATCCTTCTATTTTCTCTCTCTTCTTTAGGCACGGAATACAACTTGCCCAAACTGGGTGGCAGCAGAGGCTGCCCTGGAAAAATACTACCTTCCCATTTTTTATGGGACTGAGTTCATTGTGGGAATCCTTGGGAATACCGCTGTGGTGTTTAGCTATCTCTTCTGTCTGAAGAACTGGAACAGCAGCAACATCTACCTCTTTAACCTCTCTATCTCCGACTTGGCGTTTTTGTGCACCCTTCCTCTGCTGATGAGAAGTTATGCCGATGGCAGCTGGGTATATGGAGACATGCTCTGCATAGGCAACCGATATGTACTCCATGCCAACCTCTACACCAGCATTCTTTTCCTCACCTTCATCAGCATCGATCGGTACTTGCTCATGAAATATCCTTTCCGGGAACATCTTGTGCAAAAAAAAGCCTCTGCTGTTTTAATCTCTTTGGCCATTTGGGTTTTAGTAACCTTAGAGCTACTACCCATCCTGCCTTTGATAAATCCTGTTATAACGAACAATGGCACTAGCTGTAATGATTACGCAAGTTCTGGGGACCCAAGATACAACCTCATTTACAGTATGTGTCTAACCTTGTTTGGCTTCCTCATCCCTCTCTTTGCGATGTGCTTCTTTTATTTTAAGATGGTTCTCTTTTTAAAGCAGAGGACTAGGCAGCTTACCACCGCTCTGCCCCTTGAAAAGCCTCTCAATTTAGTCATCATGGCAGTGGTGATCTTCTCTCTGCTTTTTACGCCCTACCATGTCATGCGGAATGTGAGGATCGCTTCACGCCTGGGGAGCTGGGAACGCTACGGATGCTCTCAGGCTGTCATCAACTCTTTGTACATTCTGAGTCGGCCTCTAGCCTTTCTGAACAGCGTCATCAACCCCCTCTTCTATTTCCTTATGGGAGATCACTACAGGGATATGTTGATGAGTAAACTGAGGCAGCACTTTAAATCCCTTACATCTTTTAGAAGATAAGCTCATGAATTCATATCTTTATTCCAGAAGAATGGGATGTTTGTGAAACTGATTGTTATGCCTTTTCAGCTATAAGCTAGACTTTGTTTTAACTCACAGTTGTAAAACAGGGAAGGTCACTGATCTCTCTCTGGTTTGAAGACAAATAATACCCAGAGAATGAGAAAGGAAGGGGATGAGAAGACTGTATTGGCGTCTCCACCTACAATGAAAGGAGTGGGACCAGCACTCTCTGATGTGTGAGCTTGTGAGTCCTAGGTTTTATGAGACCTTCTTCATCCATGGAAAGGATGTAGAAGATTAAATAGCAAGCCGTCTTCGTTTAATCACTGGTCAGATGGCGAAACAAAACAAAAACAACGTTGTTTTGGCATCATAGTCTATGTTATCCTCATCAATACAACCCTAAATCTTTATGTGAGAATTGAATAGCCAAAGATTAGGTAACTATTAAATATTGTTTTCTGAAGTTGTGCTCTTGAGCAAATTTAAAGTAAACAGTAAAGGGCTAGCAGATGGCATAGTTGGTTGCATCACTGGATTCTCACATGGCTGACTGCAGTTTGAATCCCAGACCCGGTGGCTTAAAACTCATGCCAGGCACATGTACGTGCTTGCCCAAGATCCCAGGAGGAGAATGGAGGAGAAGGGACTGCAGCATGACCATCTTCTCTGGAGGATGGTATCTCACTTTCTCTGTCTCTGTCTCTCTCTGGGAAGCACACGTGCCCTAAGGTCAAAATTTTTTTCAAAACAAAAAATAAACAGTAAAAATAATGAGTAAGAAAGTAATGTAGTGAGTTCAAGGGTGTCTACAGGTTACTTTTTATATCGATCATAAATTGGGTCAAGTTACCACTTCTTAGTTCTTTTCTGCTGTATGGTATATAGTGAAAAGACTAGATTAAATAGAATTTAAAGAAACAATTCCACAAAGGCAAAGAATGAATTTCACTGTCAGGGAATTTAGTTGTAAACTGTTTTATCAAAATGTGAGAGAGATATTACAAGGATGTTTGTGAAAATTTCAATTATAGAACAACAACAACAAAAAGAATGAAAATGCCTATCAGGAAACCCAAAGCAAAATGAAACAAAAATGACTACATTGTTTTTATAATGATCGTGCCACATGTCATCTTATTAATATGATTTGACCACCAGTGCACACAAACATGTTAAAGTTCATTAACCTTGCTGCTCTTGATTAGATAGTGAATTTTAAAATAAATTAATATCATAAAGCCAGCAAATAAGAGGAAATGAAATACTAATACCAGATTTATTGAGTTGGCTTTCCGTTTTGGAGGTAAAGCCACAGTTTTTCTGTACCTCTTTTTTGTAAGTATGAGATATTTAACAAGGAAAAACTTTATCTGCAGAGCAATTCATATCTGGAGTGAATCTTATTTCTCTAGAACATTATAGAAGACCATTGAAGGAAACGTTATAAACAAAATGTACTTTATGAAATTATAGAACATAGGATTATTTATATACATATCCATTTAGATGATCTCAGAAGGGTTAGCTAGGCTCCATTCTGTACCACGAAATAAACTTAGGGGAAAAAAAGTAAGTGTTCTATTAATTTTTCTCTTTTGTCTTTTTTCTTGTTTTTTTTTTTTTTTTTTGTCTTTTGTTTCGTTTTTGCTAGAGAGTACATATATTCACCAATGAGCCCAAAAGACTGAGAGAGGAGAGAAAAGAGAAACTTAGCAATATTTAATTTAATTTTAGTTTACATTTTATGCATGAGTTTTGATTTATAAAGATGAAATTCAATTTGCTCCCTTGACTCCCATTCCAAGAAGTGGCAGAAGTAGCTTCTTTGTAATAGTGTGGTGAAATATTTTGTCAAACCATAAACTCTTACATATATCTTGTAACCTACAGGTTAAGAAATTTCATAGCACATCTCTTAATTCTTTTCTTGCTCAAAACTATAAGGTGGTAACTTAATTCTTAATAGACCAAAGGGGTCTGCACTAAATTTATAAGAGCTATTTCATTTGCTTTTTGTATCAAGTAATTATAAGACTACTCAAGAATAAATAACAGAAATTCCTTCTGGGTTTGTGTATTTTCAAGAAAAATGATGTTGGGCTTTTGTATGTTGCTTTTTAATTGGTTTTCTGGAGTCTTCAGAATGATGCTTAAACTATGTGGCCTAGCATTCTACAATCTAGATTTACCTACTCTTACAAATTTTCCCACCACTGTTGTCATAAATCATCTTTACCACCAAAGATTTTTATTTCACTTCATTATCTGAATTTTCTTCACTTTGTACACCTAGAATCTTGTGTTTGTTCTAGCACATCTGTGTACAAAAATCTAAGTATTTTTCAGTCTCTTTCACCTATCACTCTTTCTTAAAGTTTTCCCTTATATCTTCTTCTTCTCAAATCTACCTATAAGTAAAACTTTATAACATTAGGAAATCGGACTACTCTAAATACTCTTTATATTAAATACATGTTTTTTAAACCTTATACTTATTTAGACTCAAAATCAGTTTCAAGGCCTGTGAGTTGAAAAATCTGCCTAATTTTTTATTGCTTGCATAGCATCAACAAAATACTTTTAAAATTACTGTTTATTTTTAATGAGCAGCAACTTATAGAACAAATTTGAATCCAGCGTTCCTTTTGAGTGTGTATAAGCAAGATATTTTTCTGTCATCACTACTTTAATAATAAATTACATTATTTTAAATGAAAAATAAAGTATATATTCACAACCATGTGAACCAGGTATCATTTCACTATCCCTCATATTTTCCTTTAGACTTTTGAGTGTAGTTTTAATGGATATTTGAAATGTATATCTGTTAGTTCCAAATCTGGGTCAAACTAGGGTTGGTCTCTATTAATTGTTTTCTCTCTTAAATATAGGTCTCAATTTTCTGTTTCTTCTTATGTCTACTAAATTTGGCTTATATTCTATACTGTGAATAATATATTGTAGAAATTCTATATTCTGTTATGTTCCATGGAAGAGTGTTGATTCTGTTTTTATAACTGAAATCAAATTCCAAACTCTGAAATCTCAGTTCAGTTACTTTAGACTTGACTGGGCTACATGTAGTCTACCCAGGACATCCATAGTCTAGATATCAGCTAGAGATCTGAGCAGAATTTGTATACAAGATGTACTATCACCTTTCTGTGACTCTCTTTCTCAGAATAGTTCTTTAATTTTCAGCTACTGAGTTCTCCCCTGAACTCATTCTTTGCTTTGTCGTGTTTCTTTCCAAATTTTAATGACTTCATATAACATTACAAGGACTTGGTTTAAAGCTCTTGGTTTAAAACTGTTGAACAAAAATAACCAAAGCCCCAGCCATGGTGGTGCAGTCAGTAGAGTGCTGCTACGTAATACTGGAGCCATATGGGAGGCCCAGGATCAGATCCTTGGTTGAGTTAAACACTCTGGGCATGGCCTTGATCCTGGCTGGCTGATAATTGTTAGGGAAGAACATGGAATGGTGAGGTCCTGTCAAGGGTACCTCTCTTTCTCCCCTTCATGAAAGAAATAAATAAGTAAACAAGAATGCCATTCAGTGCTTTTTACTTCTAGGCATTAATCTTCTTTATGCAGCTGTTTCTTTTATTCAATTTTCAGAGCTTTCAAGTGGGTCACTTTTAAATACTGCCTAAGTTTAGATAGTTTTTTTACAAAACATATGGTTTAATAAGAATTACTAAAAATAAACAAATAAATAAGAATTACTGAGACATTACCAGGAACAGAACCTCTTTCTCCTTTAGAGGTAAGTAACTAAATAATGTAACTCTGTATCTGATAATAATGTGAAGTCCCATTTTAAGTTTTTAACTTTTAGAAAGTATAAATTTATCATCTGATTTGATCTCAGCAACATCTCATAACACAGTTTTAGGAAGACAATTCCATATTGATGGAAGGAGTTTCATCACAGGTTCACATTCTGCTTACAAGTGTAGGATATTGAACTCTTTAATCCTAAGCTACGTCATATGGTGTAGAAACCACGAGCAATGATTTCACAGCACATAACAAACTCTAGAATATGCAATGTTAGAATAGAAATGAAATGACCAACTGCATAATGTTTTTAGAAAATGAGCTTCTTTAGTAATGCATTAAGTCCTACCATACAAAACACTGTATGTTATAGTGAAAGTCTCAGAATCAATGAGTCATGATCATATTTTGTCTAGAAATTAATAGTGTGGAGGAAATTTCATTAGAAAATTTGCTCCTTAGTAACTTTCTCGTGAAAGAAGCAAAGTATCCTCCCCGAATTGCTGTATTCGTCAATTGTAGCTATGAAACAAGTGATTTGACCTGATTCCTGAAGATATGACATCATTATCCCTTTCACGTCACATTTAAATCTGTATAGACTCATACATGAAATAGGAGGGAGGGTTTTCAAAAAGTTCATGGAAAAAACTATTCATAGATTTTTATTTATTTATTTATTGTTTTGGAGAGGTTTTCGCTATAGGACGCGTGCGCTCGCCAGACAGGCAGAGAGAGACAGAGAGACAGAAAGCGAGAAATCACGCCCCAGGGGGGATGGTCACGCCACAATCCCTTCTCCTCCATTCTCCTCCCGGGATCTTGGGCACGCACGCACACGCGCCTGGCGTGAGTTCTAAGCCACCAGGTCCGGGACGTGAACTGCGGTTGACTACGTGGGAGTCCAGCGACATAGCCATTACGCCAACTGCTGGTTTCCGATTTTAATTTTTTTGCACAGAAATAAATTTTTACTTTCTATTTACCCAGTAACTTTAAAGTCCTTTCATATATAATGTTATATTTGTATGTGTGTATAGTTTACATAAATAAAAGGAACAAAAAATGTGCTGTACAAAATCATTAGCTTTGTCATGGTAACTCATTAGATCTGCCAAGAGCTTTGCCATATTGATTGTATTATCATCTTCAATATACTGATGAGGAAACAGGTTTGAAAGACTTAGTGATGGGGACCAGCAGTTGTCTTAACGGCTATGTCACTGGACTCCCATGTAGTTGACCACGGTTTGAGTCCTGGACCTGGTGACTTAAACTCACACTGGACGCATGTGTGTGTGTGTGCCCAAGATCCCAAGAGGAGAATGGAGGAGAAGGCAATGCGACATGACCATATCCCCCTGGGGGGTGATTTCTCACTTTCTGTCTCTCTTTCTCTCTCTGTCTTTCTGGCGAGCTCACGGGCTCTATAGCAAAAACCTCTCCAAAAAGGGGGAAAAAAAAGAAAGACTTAGAGATGGAATCTTTGAGGCTAGTGTAGATCTGTTTGACTCCAAAGAGACATGAACTCTCCATGATAGATGATCTCTTTTGAAATAAAGTCCAAGTGATCACCCACAATTTTAATCTACAAAGATATAATCAAGAAAGCTGTTTACAGGGGCCAGAAGGTGGCGTAGAGGTTGAGGGTGCTGGATTTCCACATGGCTGACCACGGTTCGAATTCCGAACCTGGTGGCTTGCTTTCTCACTTTCCTTCTCTCTCTCTCTCTGTTCCTCTCTGGTAAAATAAAAATAAGTAAATAAATAAATTTTAAA